TTGATGATTTTTTCACTGTGAGCTCATATTTGGCTGACCTTAATATGCAGAGAACTCTGAAGGTTAAAACTAGAACTGCTCTACAGAGAAACTGAGCTTGTTTCCTGTAGGAGTAAGAGACTGTTAATAACTGAAGACCATGTTAGCCATCTTCACAGATCTCCACCTAATGTTAAGACTATCCGAAAATTACTTCATCTTGATAAAGCTCCAAATCCTAGTGGAATGATCTTATCTTTGAGGTGGGCATCTGTTGCCTGAGTAAACGCAACATAGACAATTTCTTAAAGTTTACACAAATCTCAAGCACCGTTTCAACTATATAGATCCATATTTAAATCTGTATGTGTAAATATGATCCTCAGAGATTCTTCTACATCTTATAGGTCAACAATGTATTAAAATTATGCTATTCTAAAATGAAAAGAAAAAGAAAAAAAATATTTTTTAAAAATTATGCTATTCTATGAGTGAAAGTGATAGTACAGTAGACAGGACACTTGCCCTGCACATAGTTAACCTGTTAATTCCTGGCAATCAATACTATCCCCCAAGCCCACCAGGAGTGATTCCTAAGCGGAGAGCCAGGAGTAAGTCTTGAACACCACCAAGTATAGCAAAAAATAAAATAAAATAATGCTATTCTAATTAGTCTATAATTTGTACAAGAGTAAACTAAAAGGTCATTAAGAATGTGATTTAAAGACTGATAAAGCAGCAATCTTTCATCTTTTTAGTTAAAAGTATCTACTGACATCTGACAGTAATTCAATAGGTTATGGCTAATTATTTTTTATCAAATAGAGAAGCCACAGAAAATTAGAATTGAATACTATTTCATACTGTCAAAGCATTTCATATTTGGGTGCCCTAAAATTTTTCTGATACTGTCTAACCATATGATATGTCTAAAAGGGTAAAAGAAAATATATTTATTTTAATGGTACAAATTCTCATTAGTAGTATTGCTGCTCAAAATGCTAAACACATTCCAAACTTAGCTTAAAACATCCTACACACATGATTCTAAAATTCTGTTCAATGATAAAAATTGCTGGCTCAGAAAATGAAAATACCATATCTATATTCCCACATAGTGCTGAATTGTCTGAATTCCAAAGATGAAAATCTACAAACTGTTTTCTATGAAACAGATTAATAATTCATTAATAATTGGCTATACTTGCTTTCAAACAAAGTGTTTTATACTGCACTAATGATTACATAGTGCTACTAGAACTTTTAACTGGCTTTAAAAGATACCAAAATTAAATTTTTGATTTTAAATTCTAATTTAAAACAGTACAATTTATTCTTTCAAATTTACTACAAAATAAATACAAAGGAAAAAAAGAGTATTCCACATTTATTTCATAAAACCTTATATGACTAATAGGTACAAATTAGTTTTAGAAGTGTAAGAAGAATTGAAAATAAGTTAGAAGTTAGTAAGAACATTTGTGAAACAAAGCAAAACTTGCTATCTTAATTAAGAACAAAGTTTCAGTACATATAAACTTTATTCTGATGATTTGTTATATATAGTGCAGTTTTATTCAAAATGAACTCATTTTGACTTATTTAGACGTTGTGTGTTTTTTTATATGATGGATATCTGAACTAACAAAATATCTAACTAATAAAACACTGCAAAAACTATCATCATCTGGGATTTTTTCTTTTATTTTTTTTAGAAGTTTTTATTGAAACTTATATATAAAGATATGAGGGAGAATTGTGTTTTTAAGAGAGAACACGGTCTTCTCCGGAGTGGAAATATGCAAGCATAGAAACATACGGACAGGAAAGCGAGATACAGGTTCAAGGGAGAACATGAACTTAAGCGCAAGCCTTTTTTCCCCTTCTTGAATGTTCCAAAGATCATACTCTGCATACTAATGTACACAGTTCTCTCCATCACCTAGAATCAAGTAACTTAGTAAATACCAAAGCAGATTTGGTGATATTTTTTAAACTAAATGTTTTTTAAAATAAATTCTTCTTTTGCTTAATAAAAGGATACATATGATTTAAGAATTCTCATGATACCAAAACTACTGAAACCATTCTATTTTTATAGCCTCAAAATTGACAAATGTTTTAAGTACATGATTCTTTAGTAAACTAAAAATACAGTCAGGACACATAGTCAATCTTGACAATGAATTATTCAAGCAAGCATAACTTCTTAATTAAATTAAATTTCTAATATTTTCTGAAATTAATTAAATTTCTGAAACAGCATGAATCAATGAACATGAATACAATATAACTGTTAATCTGAATTTCTCACATGACAAGGTGCTTTATTACCCAGCACAGGGTAAGTTTGTGATCCTCTACAAAAAGGTTTAATGATTTGAAAAATGACTGAAATAATGATGGTAGCAAACTATTGATCCCATCTCTAAATTCAGATGATCTCATTTTCTATAAATAATACTTCTACCCCTATTTGTATATGATATCCTGGAAGATTACAGGACCTACCCAAGATAATACAACCAGTGGAAATAAAGCTGAGCTACTTCTGGTAACAAGGCTCAGTAAACACAGCTCATCTTTGTCCTCTGCTTTTTTAAAGTTTTTTCCCTTCTCACCCTTTGGAGAGGGTCTCCAAAGCAATACCCAGTAATGCTCTTGAAGGGTCATATGGTGCTGGGGACAGATCTGAAAGCTTTGCACATGCATGGCATGCATTCCAACTCTTTAAGCTTTCTCCTTAAACCATCAGTTCTAAATCACTGTACTATCCTATCTTTGACACCACTTGAATTGGTGTTCAGAAAAGAGATCTTTATGATTTGGCTTTCCAAATGCTAAGAACTATATAAATAAAATTATTTTAGAAAACCTAAAGACACATTAGACTGCACTGACTAAAACAAATAAATATTATAGAATAATGAGAATAACAGACATGACAGTTCCTTTCCATATAGCCTGGAACGTTAATTTTTTTCCATAAACATTTTTTAAATGTACAGGGAAATACAAAATTAAAATTGATACTTTTACACACCTAATAAAAGTGATAAAATACAAAATACTGACAGGTATTTGCAATGCTAAATGTAGTCTAACCAAATATACTATACTCTTTAGTATTTCTATTCAAATGCAGAAATTTTATGTACAGGCAAAATCTGCATGCAAATATTTATGTCAGTTTTATTAGTAATTGCCAAAAGTAAGAAGCAGCAAATGTCCTTCAACAGCAAATGAATAAACAAAGGAAGTATTTTCATACAATGAAGTATCAATCAGTGAAAAAAAAAGGATGAGGTATCAAATCATAAAAAGACATGAAGGAACCTTAAATGTCTATTGCTGAGTGAAAGAAATTAGTCTGGAAAAGCTATCTAGTCCATGATTCAAGTGATATTCTGAAAAAGGTGAAACTCCAAAGGCAGTAAAAAGAAAAGCAGTGATCAAGTTTTGCAGAAAAAGGTGGGGGAAGGATTAATAGAGCATACACAATTCTTAGGTAAGTAAAACTACAGAAATAATTTTGTATGATACTAATATGATGGGCTGGAGTGATAGCACAGCAGTAGGGCATTTGCCTTGCAAGCGGCCAACCCGGCAGAGCCTGGTTCAATTCCTCCGCCCCTCTCGGAGAGCCTGGCAAGCTACCCCGAGTATTTTGCCCGCACGGCAAAGCCTGGCAAGCTACCCGTGATGTATTCAATATGACAAACACAGTAACAACAAGTCTCACAATGGAGACGTTAGTGGGCCCGCTCGAGCAAATTGATGAACAACGGGAGGACAGTGCTACAGTGCTACTAATAAGAGAGATGTAATACATTTAACATTTGCATTAATGCACATACACCCTAATCATAATGGATGAACTACTGTCATACCTTCTTGTTAGTTAAAAGTTATAGCTAATGTCAGTTTATTGTACAATTCCAAGAGTTTTTCATAATGCTTAGTAGGTTATGATAACATGGAAAGATTAGCAGATGTACTTTCTTTACTAATATTTTTTCAAACCTATAACTTTCCTAAAGGTAACATAAGTAGGTATGTATTACTGGCAGTATTTCATGCAAAAACAGTTACCAGCCAATCTGAGACTGAGATAAACTAAAAGGCCTGCTTCAAGGCTGGTTATTGGCTAGCAATGAAACTTGGATTTTGACGGAGTACCATGACTCTGATAAAAGTACTTGCTGTACCTAAACTATTTATAAATTAGGTGTAATATATGCACATTTTTTTTGCTAAATCACAGCAACAACTATAAGCAACTATACTTTGTAGCGGTCTTGGAGACTCCTAACACAGTACATACAACATTTAAAATGTTGAATTTATAGAGAAAACTGTACCATGACATTGTAAAGTTACAAGAAATTTTTCTTTGGAGCACAAAGTATTAAGCATTTAATAATAAGTAAAGTAACTAATTCAACTAATCATTATAGAAACATAATCACAATGGATAAAGAAAATGTTGAGTCAGGTACCCCGGTACAAGAAAGGCGTGATCATGGTCCACAAGCACAGCAGCTTGGTGGGTGGGAGAAAGGAGAATGTAGAACACTCTAAATATGGAAAATATAACAATGCACTTAGAAAACTAACAACTGAACAGACCATACTACCTTAAAGATTTTATATGATAATAATAAAATTTTCAATATTATTTTAAATATATGTAATTACAACTATCAGTTAAATTCCTTATTGGTCAAAATTCTTCTGGTAGAAAATTTAATCTCTAACAGAACATTTAAAAAAAATTTTACTGTAAGCAGTATATGACAGAAAAGGGGAATTGGTTTACACACTTCAGACTATAAAAAAACTGGTATCATCTACACAACAAATGTGACTATACATTTGTTATAAGGAAAATGTATGGCTCCCTAAATATACACTGCCTTAGACTGATTCCACATGTACCTCCCCTGTAAGATAGGAACACAGCACTTTCTCATATCATCCTGCACTTCTCAATTCATAGTAATATTTTTAGTTCAACATACCTTAACTATTTCTTCAATGAAACAAATGTGAGAAACAGGATCTCTCTTCTTGGCTAATATTTTTTGTAGGTGCTGAACCTAAAGTAGGCATGAGGACAGATAACGTTACTATTACTATTGGGTACTTTGAAAGAACACACGCATGAAGCTTTGGCACGAGAAGTTTCAAAAAAAGGGAAATAAATTTTGCTAAAGTCTATACAATATAATCAGGTAATAGATGTAATCTGAATAAGCAGAGATGTTTCAATTACCTGTCTAAGGTAATACAATATGGAAGAACCAAAACTTAATTCCCTTTGAAATATATATTTTTCTTTGTTCTAAAATGAATTCATATTGTCCAATAAAAAATAAAATAAAATGAATTCATATTTAATACTATTTTCACTCTCTGAACTATTTACCTGTCCACAAACAGTGCATATATAATCCATAAGTTTCTCCATATTGGTCCAGAGAGAAGCACGAAAAGCTGCAGTGTTTCCTGGAGTTGGCATGGTAGATCGACCAGGTCCCCCTATTTACAAAGAAAGGAGAAACTAAGATTCCTAAAATACACAAGATACTCTACTATGGAAAGTACATACAAGCAAAAAAAAAAAATCAAGGATTTTTATCTTTAACCATTTATTGTAATATAAAAAAAGTCAGAATGATATAGCAGGTGGGGCAGTTGTCTTAATGCGGCCTGCCCAGGTTTGATCCAGAACCTCATATGATATTCTCATGTCCACCAGGAGTGATCCTGGGTGCAGAGCTAGTAGTAGCCCCAAGCACCACCAGGTGCATTCCAAAAAACATTTTAAAAAAGTATTACCCTCCAGTTTTTGAAAAAAGACAAGGAAACAAACCACATGCACAACATAAATCACACTTACAAGACAAAAGGGTTCAATCACAATGGGAAATTTCTCAGAAAAGTAAGCATAGAGCTAAAATCTGACCCAGCAATTCCTCTTCTTGGTTTCTATCCACCACAACACAAAAAATAGTCATTCAAAAGGACATATGCATACCATTATTCATTTAATAGGTAGAATATGAAATCAATCTATGTGTCCAACAACAGGTGAATGGATAATGAAGGTGTAGTATATATACACAATGGAAGAATACTATGCAGCTTCAAGGAAGAATGAAATCATGCCCTTTGCTATAACTTGGATGGACCTGGAGGATGTCAGGTTTAAGTGAACATAAGGCAGAAGATCGGAAAAAGAACAAATACCAGATGATCTCACTTATCTGTGGTATAAAGAATAACAGGACAAGGGAATGAAAGGTATCAAAGGAGGGTGATCTAGATTACCTTGGATTTTATATTGTAGAAATGTAGACAGGGAAGAAAAGGAAACTTGAGGTGTGGGGAACTAGGAAGAGGAAAATGGACAGTAACAGGCACAGGGCTCAAAGCCCGCAGGCACACTGGTGATGTAGAAGTCTGTTATATCTACTCTTCTAAACCACAAGGCCAACAACACTGAAAGCAGGAGACCCAAACTATAACAACCAAACTTAAAAATATGTGTGTCAAGGGGGCTAAGAGGTGGAGGTGGGAGGGAATCTGGGGACAGTGGTGGAGAAAGCTGAAACTGGTGGTGGGATTGGTGCTAAAACACTGTATACCTGAAATTCAATTATGAATAACTTTCAAGTCACGGTACCCTATTAAAAATTTAAAAAATAAATAAAATCAACACCACACACAAACACACATGGGGAAAAAAGGGAAGAAAATTAATCACACACACAAGATAAAACAGAAAATAGAAATCAAATGGTTTTCTAAATGGGAGGGAGGTTGGTGAGTGTGAGAGACAGTAAAAAAATAAAAGGAATAAGAATAGAAGCAATGGATGATTGTAAGTCAGGCTGAGTTTTTACTTCAAAATAATAAAAGACCTAAAAATTTGAATACAAAAATCAGGAACAAAAATTATTGTATATAAGACTGGTAATACATTCACAATCCAAGTAATTTTCTTGATGACTATAAATAACTAAGCAAACAAAATGAATGTCAAAGAAAAAAAATGGACACATTTTGAGTAATTTTAAAGCATGATCCCTACCTTGAATGAGATGTTCTTTAGAGAAAAAAGAATTACAAAGAAGTATCAGATTATTCTAGTGTCAACAAATCTATTAGATTTGTTTCTGGATGTGGTAACAATGGTATACTATAAAACTAAAGGTAAAAAAGGTAAAGGCCCTCCCGTTGATCGTCGATTTGCTCGAGCGGGCCCAGTAACGTCTCCATTGGAGACTTTGTTGTTACTGTGTCTGGCATATCGAATACTCTCGGTAGCTTGCCAAGCTCTCCGAGAGGGGCAGAGGAATCGAACTCGGGTCGGCCATGTTGGCCGCATGTAAGGCGAACGCCCTACCAATATAAAACTAGTTTTGATATACTTTACAATAGAACAAATGTTATGGTTCTTACCATAAACATAATAAAGACACAAACACATAATGAGAACAGAAGTTTCTGACAACCTCTCCCCTGATAGGGCAGAAAGATTCCTAGATCAGAGTTTTCCAATTGGGGATCACATGGTTTCCTGTGACTAGGGGCCAAAAGCAAAGACATAAGGCTGGACGGGAGCACAGAGTGGGAAAAGGTGCAGAAACACTGTCCTAGATAGAAATGAGCAAATCTTGTAGCCAAATTTTTATTTATATGTCCTGTTACCAATAAAAGAGAACAGGGTTCATTGAAGAAAAAGAGTGTGCACATATCTCAAGCAATAAAAATAGAAGGTGAATCTGGTACGCATCATGCCAGAGAGCAGAGAAGTTTCAAAAGACAAATTGAATTTGTTAAAGCATATAGGGCTTTATAGGATACATCTGGTAATATCTGACCATCCAAAAAACTGATATTAAATGGATTCTAAAATAGTGATTAAAAATAATTCCTGAGTTCATAGTGAAAACTCAAATATTAGAAACCGCAGAATACAGAGTGTCCATAAATAAATGCAAAATTAATGACAGAATTAGAAAATTATCATCAGCTTGCAACTACTTATATCTAAAGGGAAAGCTTAGCAGTGGATACTAAAACTGGGTAAAGTGTTATGTGGAACAGGAAGTGCTATTTACATAATTCTCATAAGTATGTGCCACATATCAGTTGCTAATTACAAACAGGATACTTTTACAAGACACAATCTGGCCTACCCTAACTACTGTAACAAAGTGATTTTAGCATCAGCAATAACAAGACAGACTGACATAATGCTGTACTTCCTGATATGATGCAATGAGAAATACACATTATCTTACCAGTTTGTTCACTCTATCTAATCATGAAGAAACAATCATCTAAATGCAGACAAATTCAGTTTGTGAGGCTCTCCAAACATGTTAGTGCCATAAAAGACAAAAGACAGTGCGGTTGCTTTGGATTAAAGACCAGTAAAGGGAAAAGATAACCAATATAAAAGCAATCCCTGAGTGGGATTCAAGTTGAGGGGGAAATGTTATGAAGAATATTTTTTGGAAACAACTGGAAAATGTTGAATATGGATTACATATTACAATAGTATTAATTTCTTAATGCTAAAGTTCCTGAGATTGATGCAAGAGCCTTCTTATATGTGATACACACAGTTGTCTGAAAAAGTTTAAAATGTTTTAACTTAAATAGAAAGATTTGTGGGGGAAGGGTTTGGGACCACACCTGGTGGTAGTTCAGGCTCCTGGCTCTGTGCTCAGGACGACTCCTAATAATGCTTTGGGAACCATATATGGTGCTGTAAGTCATCAGAGATGGTCACATGCAAGGCAAGTGCCTAAATCTCTGTATTATCTTCCTGGTCCCCACAAAGAATTTTTTTAAAAATCTCAATTTTTATTTATTTTTGCTTTGGGACAACACCCAGTGGTGCTGTGTTACTCCTGGCTCTGTACTCAGGGGTCACTCCTCTCAAGAGCTCAGGGGACCATACGAGGTGCCAAGGATTGAGGCCAGGTTGGCTGTGTGCAAAGCAAGCACCCAACCCACTGTATTATCGCTCGAGCCAGTCTTTTAAAGCATGATTTTTAAATCAAACACAGCTTTTTAAAAAAGCAGTAAGTTTCTAAGTAACTGGTTTATCCTAATTTAAAAGAGGGCAAGAATCGAGGAAACTATACTATGTATTTATAAGCTACTTTAGACTTGTTTTTCCAATAATTCAAAATTCATAAAAGAAAGATATATTACCTTTAGCAATGAGAAGCTATGATTTTCTGACCAAAATTGCAAGCAATAAAAAAAAACCAAGGTTTTTAAAACTATAAAAATTCCTATTTGAAGTTGTAGCACTGCACCGTAGCACTTTGATGTTGCTCATCGATTTGCTTGAGCAGGCCCAGTAACGTCTCTATTGTGAGACTTGTTGTTAGTGTGTTTGGCATATTGAATACATCACGGGTAGCTTGCCAGGTTTTGCTGTGCGGGCGAGATAACTCTCGATAGCTTGCCGGGCTCTCCGAGAGGGGCAGAGGAATCGAACCCGGCTCAGCCAGGCCGGCCATGTGCAAGGCAAATGCCCTACCGCTGTGCTATCATTCTAATTAATTTTTTTGTTATTTGTAGTGTTGTGCAAAAGCTTAAGGAAAAAGCATACAGGTATTAGACAATATGTAACATATAAATAGTGGACTCAGTAAAGATATGTAGCACTTCGATATGCCAGACACAGGAACAACAAAGTCTCCAATGGAGACGTTACTGGGCCCGCTCGAGCAAATCAATGATCAACGGGAGGGCCTTTACCTTTACCTTTACAAATATTAGAATACAAAAAAATGCTGACATATTATATAGCTAAGTTTTATTACAAAGAATCAACAGACATCAATACATTATTATCTAAACTAACTACAGAAAAAAATATGAGCAGTATTATTTTCTGTTCCTATTATTTTGAAGAAACCAAGGCAAAGAGAAACAAAAGCGCCAGAACCTGAATGTCAGCTGATGAATTCTACCAAACACTTAAGGAAGAAATTATGCCTAATCTCCACCAGGTCTTTTGGGGACAGAGTCAGAAGAAATACAGTCTAATTTATTTTGTAAGTGTAGCATTACGCTATTCCCAAAATAAGGCATTTATTTTATGGAAGCAACCACAGATCGAAGATCGCTCAAAAACACAGAGGTAAACATCAAATTATGAACTCCAACAATGTATGATAGGAATTTTCTACCAAAAACAACTGGGATTTATCCACAGTAGAAAAGATCAGTTTAACATTTGAAAAATCAGTTAGTATGATCTATTCTACCAGCCAGCTAAAAGGGAAAAGTCACATGATCATACTAGTAAACATAAAAAGCATTGGGCAACAGTGTTGTATGACTGTACATATATATTCAAACAAAATAACTCTAGATAGGGATCTACCCTTCACTGAAATTAACTTAAAACAGAGCAGAACTCAAATGTAAAGCACAAAAGCATAACACTCCTAAAAAATAACATGGAGAAAACTTAAGTGACCTTATAGACTCAGATACTCCACAAAAAACCAAAATCCTTAAAAAATGTAACTTGTATACTGGGGATTTTGGTGGTGGGGAATGTGCACTGGTGGAAGGATGGGTGTTTGATCATTGTGTGATTGTAACTCAAAACATGAAAACTTGTAACTATATCTCACAGTGATTCAATTAAAAAAACAATGCAACTGGTAAGTGAGACTTGACTAAAACAAAAAAACTTCTGCTCTGGTGAGCTGGAGAGACAGTACAACAGAAAAGACTCTTTCCTTAAACTGATCTGACCCAGGTTTGATCCTTGGCACACAGGGTTCCTGAGTACTCCCAGAAATGATCCCTCAGCACAGAGCCAGGAACAGTCCTAAACACAGCCAGTTGTGGCCTAAACTCTCACCCCTAAAACAAACAACTTCTGCTCTGACCTGGGACCAAAGAAAGGATCAAGATAGTTTAAAGGCAACTCAGAGAATGAAGGAAAAGATCTGCAATAAACATATCTGAAAGGATTGTTATCCAGCATACACAAAACTCAAAATAAGAAAACAAATAACTAAATGAAAATATGGGCCAAAGACCTGAACAGGCATTTCCCTCATGAAAGATACAGATGGGTGAAGAAGAAGCAATGGCAAAAATGCTTCACGATCATTTAGCATCAGAGAAATATTAACTAGCACATCCATGTAATACCACCACGGGGCTATCATAAGGGATAAATCTAAAAGCCTGGCACCATCCAATGCTGGGGAGGATGTGGAGCAAGAGAACACCTCAATCAGTAATGTGGAAAGCAAAATGTTGTAACAATTTTGGAAGATGGAGGTTTCTCATAAAACTAAGTATACTCTTACAAAATAATACAGCAATGATGCTCCCTGATATTTACCCAAATGAGCTAAAAATCCATCAATACAAAACCTGAACATAGTTGTTTATAGTCAGTTTTGATCAAAAGTGCCAAGATGTACAAATAAGCAAGATGTTATTTAATAGGGAGATGCCTAAAAATGACATGGAGGAACCTTTAATACATGTGATTAAAGAAAAGAAGTCAATCTGGAAAAGGTTCTGCACTGTATGAATCCCACTCTCTGACATTCTGGAAGAGGCACTGCTATGAGACAACAGGAAGATAAGCTATTGCCAAGGTGAAGAGAGTGAGATGAATAAGCAGAGCACAGAGGATTTTCAGGGCAGTGAAAAAACAGTCTTTATGCTATTATAATGATGGAGATATCATTACAAGCTTGTAAGATGTACATAACAGTACAGCATCAACAGTGAGCCCTCAAAGTAAGCTATGGACTGTGAATAATTCAAGGATTCAATGCTCTTACACGCTTGAGCCATTCTGGTAGGGAAGGTTGTAACTACTGGAAGACATTACACATGTACAGAGTTAAGGGATGTCTGAGAAAGCACTTTGCCTTCCTCAGTTTTGCTGTAATCCTAAACTGCTCTAAAACTTATGTCTTGGAAAAGAGTATTTTATGATAAAATTAAAAATAGAATGATATGAAGGTCTCTATGTAGTCCTCCCTTTGTAGCTGCATACTGTCCCCCATACCCACCCAGAGCTAATCCTAATTTTAAAATATACTCTTATTATAAAGTACATATATCTATATTTGTACTCATTTAAAAATAATATACAACATAAGTTATCATGCTTTGACTTTAAATATAGTACCATACTGTATGCGTCTTTCTGCTTTCATATAAGGTTATTTAGAATTTTTATTGCTAAACTTGTTAAGTAGCCCTGTAGCACTGTTCTCCCATTGTTCATCCATTTGCTCGAGCAGGCACCAGTAACGTCTCCATTGTGAGACTTGTTGTTACTGTTTTTGGCATATCAAATATGTCACAGGGAGCTTGCCAGGCTCTGCTGGGCGGGCAGGATACTCTCAGTAGCTTGCCAGGTTCTTCAAGAGGGGCGGAGGAATAGAACCCGGGTCAGCCGGGTCGGCCGTGTACAAGGCAAATGCCCTACCTGCTGTGGTATCACTCCAACCCCTGTGCTATCGCTCCAACCCAACTTGTTAAGTATTATGCCTTGGCAGGGTAGAATCCAGGATGGGCTCATGCAAGACAAAATCTTTAACCTCTGTATATCTTTCTGGCTCTTGTATCAACTTTTTATTGCTTTGTTAATTATTTTTGATACAAGGGCCAGAAAGATATACAGAGATAGAGAGGTTAAGGATTTTGTCTTGCATGAACCCAACCTGGATTCTACCCTGCCAAGGCACATATGGTCCCTTGAGGATTAAGTCATCAGCACCACTGGGTGTGGCCCAAAAATAAACAAATTCTGATATATATGTGCCAGAATTTAAAGTATATTGGGGTATATTCTTATTTTTTTAAACAGAGTTTCTCACCTTTTGTCCATAATGGCCCTTGCTGGCCTCTTTTTCTTCCTGTGGTACCCCCCTCCTACCAGCTGGGAATCTCATGCCATAATCTCCCATGTACTTGATTTTCACTGGTGGCCCCTTTGGAATATCCTGGGAGTCTACAGGGACCTACATGCCCCCAACTGAGAAGAACTGTTCTAAAAAGAGGTAAAATATTTTCTCACATTTGTTGGATATGTTTTTTCATGAATAGGCTATTCATATTCTTTCTTTGCTTTCAACGGAGTCATCTTTTTCTTACTAAATTATAAACTGAAAAATCCGTTACAGTAACATTTTGCTTTAAAGCTGCATCAATGTTTCATATATATATGTATAAATGTATGTATACTAGTTTTGAAACAATCTTAAGCATACAGAAAATTTGAAAGTACGATGTTTTGCCCTAAATCATTTAAGTTACTGACACTCTACCACATAAATGCTTAAGTATGTAATTTCAATAAACAAGGACATTCCACTACATAATCTCAATATAACCCATAGGATTAGAAAGTTAACATTCCTATTGCCAATAAAACATTTTGGAAAAACAAAATAGTGGTTATTCATTAAAAAATAATAAAGAATGGATGCTTAAAGTTTTTATATTAAATCAAAGTATCTACTCATCAAGAGATGATAATAAAGCTTTGAAACTATCCTTTCAACAATCAAAGAGTACATTAGGATTGACAGCATTCGAATAATTGCTTTCATTCCCCCCCCCCCCCCCCGCCGTATTCTTGACAATGCAAGAGGGAATGAGATTAAACTGCTCCTGGAAATTTAAACATTAGATCAAACTGTCTGAGAATAATTGCTAGGAAAAGCTGAGAGTGAAATCTCCTTCGGTAATTTCTTTTCAAATCTCTCCTTCTGGGATAGTCTTAATGGATACTTATTCAGAGGCTAGGGCTAACCTTTAAAAATCCTTTTTGAGATGTAAAATCTTTTATTTCTTTTGATCCAGTGCAATTTATGTATGACTGGCATATACTCTATATAATTTGTTATTTATAGCAATGTTTATATAGCAAATATAAAAGTATTAACTGGTGGTTATAATGATTTTAGTTCTGTATCAATAAATCTGTTATTCATTGCATATGCATTATCTAGTTTTAAGGATAACTCTATGAGGATTAATGCTCTTCAAAACAAAAAAGTGTAAAGAGAAAAACTAGGGACAATAAGTATAGGCAACACTTTGGGCACTTTTTCTGTATTCTGAATGCATAATATGGGGTAACAGCTGAAAAGTGAAGTTAAAATTGATACGTGACTTTAGGCAAAGGAAGATGTAATTGCATAATTGAATGTGATGAGAAACAGATGTAGAGAAAAATTGAGAGACTGGCAAATGGGACCTGCTAAAGCAATGCTCTTGAGTAATAGGATCTAACACAAAAGAAGACTACTTGATTTTTGCTAGGATCAAGTACAGTTCATTCATATTAACAAGAGAAAAACCAAGCAGAGGGAAATGCAGAAATGGCACTACTCAAGTGAGGGATATACACACCGTATAATCTTCCCACGCTCTGAAGTATGCTACATTTGTATGTGGAATGTCATTAGTCGGTACTTCTTGGTAGGCAAAGAGCTGAGGGCTACCAAAAGACAGCTACTTTCATCACCGTTAAATTTTTCTTTAGTAGTCTCCTCTAGACTGCCTAGAGTTACAACAATCCCCAAGGTTTTATATCAGTTTCTATCTCCACAGTTAGCCATTATTGCTCCTAACTACCAGAATTACCACAAGGAAAAGCCCAAAAAGACTACATTTCCTTCAAAAATATTTCCTGCCTCAACAAAAAGAACATGTGAGGATAAGAATTTTAAAAAGAAAAATTCTCCTATTTTTTCCCCCCTGCATCTGTTTCCTCTGAACTAAATGATGCTACAGTTCGTAGATTTTTATCTAGACATTCTGAATATACCAATTGGCCTGTGCAACTCACTGATTAGACAAAAAGTTATAAATAAATTCTGAAACATAATTTCTTCTCTCATTTTCTATCTACTAAAACTGAGTCATTAGATTGCTTTGAAACTTGAACATTTCATATACTATCCAAAGAACTTCTCAGTTATAAATAAACAAAGATGCTAAATATAAGCTACCACCATACCTCTCACAACTGACTGGGAGGGCTGAGTCAGAACTTTGATGTCTAATGCACTGTTGATATTTTCTTCTAACGCAGTACGGTATCCATCCATGAGACTGGCAATAGTGTCCTTCAGAGTTCCAAGATTATGAAAAACCTGAAGGGCTGTTCCAACTTGGGTTGGATTCTAAAAAAAAAAAAAGAGGAGAAAGGGTACAGACAGATATGAAAAGATATAAATAGAAAAACAATTAAATCAAAATAAATGTACACGTTTAGTAATTTAAGAAGTACTAGCATATTTTAAATTACCACAGACATGAGAGCACAAGGGAATTTCTGCGTATAAGAAAGACAGAGACAGAAATGAAAACAGTGTGTGTGGGGGAGAGACACAGAGAAAGAGAGAGAGAGCGAGAGAGAGAGGAAGAAGAAGAAGAAAAATGCTTGCCATAGAGCACAGAGTCAGGATGGTATGAAAGGAGTGGGGATGGAGGTAGGGAAACTGGGTACACTGGTGGTGAGAAATGTACACTGGTGAAGGGATAAGAGTTGGCACTGATGACTGAAACCCAATCATGAACAACTTTGTAACTGTGTATCTCATGGTGATTCAATTAAAAAAAATTATCAGACATAAACAATGAAACACACTGGGAGCATTAGTTTTAGGCACTACTTCATAAAATGTCACGGTCCTCCCGTTGTTCATCGATTTGCTCAAGCGGGCCCAGTAACGTCTCCATCGTGAGACTTGTTGTTACTGTGTTTGGCATATCGAATACGGCACGGGTAGCTTGCCAGGCTCTCCGAGAGGGGTGGAGGAATCGAACTCAGGTCGGCCATGTTGACCGCTTGTAAGGCAAACGCCCTACCGCTGTGCTATCGCTCTGGCCACGCACTTCATAAAAGACAAAATTAAATTGTTTATTACTCCCCCCTTTTATTTTTTTATATTAGAGGTTAATCCATGTGAAGAGAGTCATGTTGGAAGTAACATTGGAAGTAACACAAATCCTACATTTGGAGAATAAATAATTAAATTCTGCAGAGTTTACTGAAGACTAAACCATCCACACAGATACTGTCCATAATAGTTCATCTAGTCACGCTACTACAAATAATTACATAGTGCTTACTATGTGTCTATTATGGGATGACAGAAATATAAAATCAAACATCAGTCAATTGGGAAAGGGAAAATAATTCAAAGGGCTAATATGTATGCTTTGCTTGTAGGAGACCCAAGTTCAATATGCACACCTATGTTTACCACTGCACTTAGTACAACAGCCAAGATATGGAAACAACCCAAATACCCAAAGATGGATTTTCTTTTTTTTTTTGAGTTCACATTCAGCAGTGCTCAAGGTCTACTCCTGGCAGTATGAAGGGGACCATATGTAGTGCTGGGGATCAAACCCCGGTCCAATGCATGCAAAGGAAACACCCTACCCACAGTACTACTGTTCCAACCTCCTTAGTTCATTTTATTCAATGGTATCCTCATATCATCTAGCAAAGATGTCAAGAATATTGAATAGATATCAAGAATTCTTGAGTAAGTGAACAAGTAAGTACATGTTTAAGATTTGGTTTGTTAATACAATGCTGTGAATAAGAAAAGACTACATATGAAAATAGAGTACATCTAAAAGACTTACTACTCAGTAACAGAAAATATGACCTTCAAATCACTTGCTAATGTTTTGAAATTTAAAAGAATGCTAAGAATAACCTTTTTTTTAAAAAAAAAGAATGCTTTACTTTGTTCCAGTTTTCCTGAGGAATCACTCCATCATATCACTGAAATAAGTTTCCCACAAATACTTCTTGAGCAATCCCAAGAAGATGAGCTTTCACCTCTATAATCTCTGATTCATAAGTTTTATTTTTTAATTTTTTTATGTATTTATTGAAACACTGTGGGAAAAGTTACAAAGCTTTCAGGTTTAAGTCTTGGTCATGCAATGATCAAACACATTTCCATTCACCAGTACTTATTTTTCACCACCAAGAACCCCCCTCCCACCCCTCCCAATGCCTGTGAGGCAGATGAATTCTACTTAACACTCTATCTACTTTTATTACATTCATTATTTCGACAAAAGATGCACTATTATTGTTTAGAGTTTACACTCAACAATCAGAACAGCTGAAAAGGCATTGTGAAATAATTTGTTTTCTACAGTTAGTTATGAGAACCATATGATGTTGCGTGGCCGCTATTGCCGCCGCATGATTTTGGATGTCTGATATTTTACTTATTAAGCCTGGAGGTATATCTGCCAAGAGCCAGATAATTACGAGATTGGTTTCTGTGGCCTTGGTGCCATGGCCGTGCCAGAGAGCTGCTCGTGGGAGGCAACTCATGACCTTGGTAGGGCATGAAGGATGAGCTGGGAACGTGCCCCCCTTCCCATTAGGTGTCAGTTGCCCTGTCACTGCTGACTCATACCTGGCTTTCCAAAAAGCTCCGAGGATGCCGCCATCTTGCTGCCCAGGGGGAAAAAGGTGGAAGGGAGCGACACCCCTTCCCTCCCAGGCAGGCATGGTACTATGGATTAACGCATAGTTCATTCACTTTTCTGCAGCAAGCTGCTGGGCTCTGCATTAAGTCCTTGTAGATTCATAAGTTTTAAAAGCAGGAAAAAAACTAATAAAGCACCTAAGTTCAATGAGTAAAATATAATAATAAAGTGGTTGACTTTGGCAAAGTTAAAAATACAAATAAGAGCTTAAAATAAGGAGTTGTGATAAGTATATGAAGAACAGGACAGAGGCAAGAGACTAAGACACTCTCTGCTGATAGACTCCAGTAGACAAAAAGCAGGGAAATGTCTATTGTATCTCTGAAATTTCAAGTTGGGAACATTGAAAAAAATTGGGGAATATGGGGGTGGGGATAAAAGGGAAAATCACAAACACCATTTGGGTCTATGGGCTTAACATAAGAGGGGATGGGATAATGTCCAAAAGGAAAGAGAGAGAGAGAAAGAGAAAGGGGGAGAGAGAGAGAGAGAGAGAGAGAGAGAGATGTCTACTACAGAGGCTGGGGGTGGTGGTGGGAGGGAAACTAGGGACATAGGTGGTGGGAAATTACACCGGTGAAGGATGTTGGAACACTGAATGACTAAAACCCAATCAAGAACAACTTTGTAACTATATATTTCACAGTGTTTCAATAAAAATAAGAATTAAAAAATGGGATGGGAAAGGAAATCTATTATTAATAAAAATAATTAGCTGCAAGACAAAAGTTTAGGGAGTCAATGTGGTGTTCTTGATTGAAATAAGAACATATTTCAATGGATCATCTTACTGGATAACAAGCTAAATTGTATATGTAAAGATACAGATGACTGGGGCTGGAGCGATAGCACAGCGAGTAGGGCATTTGCCTTGCATGCAGGCTGACCCGGGTTTGATTCCCAGCATCCCATATGGTACCCTGAGCACCACCAGGAGTAATTCCTGAGTGTAGAACCAGGAGTAACCCCTGAGCACTGCCGGGTATGACTCCAAAAAAAGATACAGATGACTAACTAAATCACAATGAGAACCACAAAGAATAGAATTAGAGAAAGTAAAAGAATAGAAATGAAATAAAAGAATAAGTTGGTCAGAGCTGATACTGGATACTAGATTTTTCTAATGTTAGAAAAACTGAAATAGAGTAATTGTGTCTATGGTTCAAGTGAAGCAGATCTAAAGATAGTGAAACTAATGTCCTTTATCCACCATTCTCTCTCATCACGTACAAGTATTATATATTTTAAGCATTGCTTTTTTTCTAAGTTCTTAATAGTAATACACTTCAGGCTTTTCACTCCCTCCTCTATAAAACGAGGGGTAATCTTGATGATCTTACTAATGTTAAAACATGAAGATTTAATTATCAATCAATAGATATTATCCACGATGTATGTATTAACTCCATATGAGGTATGGGATGAAGCAAATACCACATCGTTTGACCTTCTAAAAATATATGGTCTGATGAGCAGTTAAGACAGGCAGTAACTATAAATGAGAAAGGAACTGCAGAGTTAATGAAAACATATGGCATAGACCATGTAACGAAAGTGGGGAAACAAAGAGAGCTAGAAGCCAGAAAACCTCTTATTGTCTAGTTCTCACTCTTGGAAAACCGGACAGGCTACTGAGTGTATCCTGCCTTCACAGCAGAGTCTGGCAAGCTCGCTGTGGCATATTCGATATGCCAAAACCCAGTAACAATGATGAGTCCCATTCCCCTGACCCTGAAGGAGCCTCCAATGTGGCACTTGCTAAAATCTCAGACCTAGGACGAATGGAGATGTTACTTGTGCCTGCTCAAGGAAATTGATGAACAACAGGATGATAGGGATAGGGATAGGGAATAGTTTGCCACATGAAGGAGTTGGGAGTGGAGGTTAGGTGATGTGGAAGAGTTAGAAGAGTCCAAAAACAAAAGAGTTTGATTGATCATGAACAGCTTTGTAACTGTATCTCACTGTGATTCAATAGGGGGTGGGGGTGGAGGGGAAGATGGAGAGAAACTGCTCTCAGCGAAGATCAGCTAATAGAAATGCTTGTGAATGAGACCATGTTGGCCATACAGAAGTCTACAACCATAACACCTGTGTCATAACTCACCAACATAAACTCTGCTACAATTCTAAGGGCCTATGTAAATGGCTCTCCTGCTTCTGACATTACTAAAAGAACTAATAAAAGAACTACAGGGAGTCCGTAAATTGAAAACATGAGACAATGAAGTCCTTTGTTAATTGGTTTTCTTATTTGTTTGTATTTTAAATATGAATGCTATCACCATGTTAATTCACCTGGAGAAAAATAGGGTATGCAAGCATTTTGCAATGCCACATTTTAATGAACAACAAATTTTTTGTTTGGGGGTCAAACTCAACTGTGCTCAGAGTTTTCTCTTGGCTCTGTGCTCAGGGGTCACTCTGGGCGGGCTTGGGCAATCACATGGGGAGTAAGGAATCAAACCTGGGTCAGCCATATGAAAGGCAAAGGCCCTGTCCAGCGTACTATATATGTCCAGGCCCCCACACCTAGATTTTAAGATTTGGATTTCTAACTGCCAGAACCACAACAAATGAATTTCTATCATTTTAAGCTATTTAGTTTATAGCAACTACATAAAGAGGCCCTAGAGATCGAGCTTAATAGAGTATA